ATGATACAGGTTCACACAAGTTCTACAAAGGGTGAAACATTGCCAACATGGTTCGGAGAGTTGGTTGGTGGTTATTATCACTTGCGATGAGTTCAATTGCATATTTCACATGTGGTTATGCCTTCAAAGTTTTCCGTGATGGTCATAGAAAGCCGGCAGTGAACTCTGGGGTATCTGCACAAGCTGGAGATTTAGTACGCTACGGTGTACTTAGAGAAATTTTGGAAGTTGAGTACCTGGGCATCATAAATTTGAAATGCATATTATTTTTGTGCGATTAGTACGACCCACAACCAGATATCGGTGTTCCGTATATCAAATTAGGGGTAATCGAAGTTAATTCTTCAAAATGGCTTAACAAATATGATCATTTCATATGATAAACAAACCAACTGTGCTACGTTCGTTATTCGCACTCAAGACGCAAACAAGACCCTTGGATAACCGTTACGCAGATAAAACCAAGAGATAGGGTGTGCGGGATATCAGAGAATGATATGTTGCAACAAAGCGTAGTTGGATTTGTAGGTTCTATTGATCATTCAATTGAACCTACCCCCTTAGTTGATGCCGAAGAAACAACAATGAATAATATATTTGACATATCTGAAGAAGAACTTGGTAAAATTTTTTGGTCTATACCGATTATGTTTCTTCCGAATATTCATCTGATTCAGAAAATGTATTTTATTTTACATATTAATTGTCATTAATTTATCTTGTAAGATGGAAAAACAAAATCTGTTCTTATAAATTATATTTTTATTTATTCTAAAAGCATATTAGAAATAGTAATCTGATAACAAATAGAAAAAATAATATTTAAAACTGGATCATATATGTTTACTTTTTAAAACAACCAAAACGTATTCGTAATAGTCTTTAGCATAAAATTATTGGACCTTATTACATTATAGTAAGTACTTAGCCCATCTAAACCAAAATTAAAAGAAGAGGAAATTTGAAAAATACCTTTCTTTTATATTTTTTTTGAAAAATACAATTTACTAAATATGAAATTACAAAAATATCCTAAAAAATCTGCATAGCAAATAATAAATTACATATTTAAAATTGAATTAATTTGTTGTGAGAAATTAATATATATAGCCTATATTTTAGGGCGATCATATCTTTTTCAAAAAAAATTGTARATTTTACTTTATTGTACAAGTAAATCATGCAAGTATCACATCAATCCCAAAAACAATATAGTTATACTGAAATAAATTAGCCACATTTCAGACGATACTATAACATCTATTCTTGTTTTTTTATTTATTAGAAACAAAAAAACTACACTCATTTTTAAGATAACTTAYCAAYGAAYTGRTTCACTATGTTGTTAAATAACAHAGCACGATTACATTAGCTATTCAACACGAAAAAATCAAGTCTCTATCCTTCAATTCTAACTGTTTATTTTTGTATGCCAAATCTTTTTTTTTTMAGACTTTGTATGCCAGATCTTTAAGAGTAATCTACAAAATCGATGAATCAACAAAAAAAAAAGAGAAAAAATAGAGCATGCATATTATACATCATTTTATAACATTCACAACTGAAACAAAAAACATTGTACACGTAAATCATGCAAGTACACGAGGATATAATATATTAAATGTTGAAGATAAATATCACGTATAACAAGTGATTTATCTTTT